ATATGAGGTAATGGAAAACACCATGGCTTGGGTCAGGCGCACCTTAGTCCTCAAGCTGACATCTTTGCTCTTCAACACTTTAAAAGTCTTGTGCAGCAGATTTGCTTAATGCAATGTGTCATCTGATCTCATGACTGCTGCTTCCTTGAGTGTTGATAGTTTATCCAAGAAGAATGAAGTCCTTGACAACTTCAGTCTTTTCTCCATTGATAAGAATGTTGTTTATTGGTCCAGTGGTGAGGATTTTTGTTTTCTTGACATTGAGATGTAATCAATACTGAAGGCTGTGCTCTTTGATCTTCATCAGTAAATGTTTAAGTCCTTTTCATTTTCAGCAAGCAAGGTTATATCATCTGTATATTGCAGGTTGCTAATCCTGATGCCACATATTTCTTCATATAAACCAGCTTCTCAGATGATATATTCAGCATACAGTTTGAATAAGTATGGTGAAAGAATACAACCCTATCATACACTTTTCTTAATTTTACAACATTCAGTGTTCCCATGTTCTGTTCAAACAACTGCCTTTTGGTCCAGGTACAGATTCCTCATGAGCACAATTAAGGCTTCTGGAAATACTCATACTTTGCAATGTTGTCCACAGCTTACCATGATCCACACAATCAAAACCTTTGTGTAGTCAAAAAAGCACAGGTAAACATATTTCTGATGTTCTCTGCTTTCAGCCAAGATCCATTGGACATCAGCAACGACATCCCTCATTCCATGGCCTCTTCTGAATCCAGCTTGAACCTCTGGAAGTTTTCTGTCAATATATGACTGTCACCATTTCTGTATCACCTTCAACAAAACTTTACTCGCATGAAACAACAAAGAGATTGTCTGAAGGTTTCCGCATTCCATTGGGTCACCTCTCTTTGTAATGGGCACAAATATGGATCTCTTCCAATCAGTTGGCCAGATAGTGTTCCTCCAAATTTCTTGGCATAGATGAGTGAGTGCCTCTTGTGCCACCTCACTTTCTTGAAAGATTTCAATTTTTATTCCATCAATTCCTGGTACCTTGTTCTTTGCCAATT